CTCTCTCTCTCTCTCTCTCTCTCTCTCTCTCTCTCTCTCTCTCTCTCTCTATTTCTGTCTCCCTCTCTTTATTTCTCTCTCTCTCTCACTCTTTATTTTCTCTCTCTTTATTTCTGTCTCCCTCTCTTTATTTCTCTCTCCCTCTCTTTATTTCTCTCTCCCTCTCTTCATTTCTCTCTCCCTTTATTTTATACATCTCTCTTTTTCCGCTTTGTCTTTCTCTCGCAATTTTTCCCCTTTCCCCCGCGCTCTTCCCCTCCGTCTTTCTCTCTCCCCCGGCGTTATCCATCTTCTCTCTCCCGTCCTCCGACCGTGTCATTGTCGACCATTTGTACGGGCGCACGCATCCCTCAATATTTCCGGCGTCTCGTCCCATTCAGGGGGTCGCGAAGTTGAAGGGTCCGCGACCCCGTTCGGCAATATCACCGACAAATTTAATGCCCGACTATTAGCAGCGGGGTGCACCGCCTGCATTGTCGAGTGGCCACGTGCAGGATGACTGTTCCGCGAGCGGAACCGGGCGAAACCGTTTGATCGGCGGCCCCGGGGATCGTTCACGGTGAACCCAACCCCCCCGGCGCGGGACGCTGCCGACGGGGAAAGAAGGCCTCTCGCGCCCCGTGTCACACTTGTCGAGGGTTATTGGATTTAGCCGACGCCGCGGGGCGTCCTTCACGGACCTGCCGAGTTACACGCGAGATTAGGCGCCGGCTAGGACCCGATCCGTCACGGTCAAGTGTCTCGGGCCATGATACTGTTTGCTCGCATCATTTTCACGCTGCTCCCTGTGATCGCAGCGTCGCAGTGTTCACCCCACCGGCGACGCTGTCGCAGACCGTTTTTCTGACCTGGTGCCGATTCCCGATCCGACACGTTGTCACGGGCGCAGATAATTGGGTCCGTCCACCCTTCGGGTTGCTAAGCTCGGCGGAGACCATGGTTGTTGTTAACTAGACTGCGGATTTTTATGCGGATTCGTGATTTTGAGTAGGAAGTGCGAGACGCAGGAGATGCATTCGCGTTTTAATGCGAGATAATTTGTACTAATTACGTGTTTCAATCATCTTAATTGGCTGAGAGTAATGCAACGGTGCTTCGGAATTCCTCGAATGGTTCGGTTTTATTGCATTTGATCTACTCGTTTTTGTCATAAATTGCGTAAAATCCGTAGTTCAGTTATTGTCGAGGCGAGAAATAATTGTAGTGTGGTCGTTAGATTCTGCTTGGAATGATTTAGATCAGTTTAATAATCGTTGTAAGTGACGGAAATAGTTTTTGGTTACGAATGTAATAGAGGAGGTTATTACTAGGAAACAGTTTCAGGTTGCAAATAAGCGTTACAGGGGATGAAAATTGGTTTACTGGTGCAAATGATAATTATCGATGTCGAGAATGTTAATCTGTTAAAAAATCACTATCAGCAGTTGACGAGAATGGTTTTCGATTATGAATAACTATTAAGGGTAACCAGAATCGTATATTGGTTATGTCAAGGTTAATTTTTAACTGTAGTAGTACGGTTCTTTTGTGCGATAAAAGGACGGATATACACATGTAATAATTGATACAATTTTAATTGTCAGGCATGAATGAGCAAATTAAATGGTAGATGATAAGCGATTATAATATAAGTAATAATATATTAGTATTAATAGATGTAAGTACTAAAATATTAATATTAAAAGATGTGACTACACATTAATGTATTTGTATTAAAAGATATAAATACCAATAAATTACTATTGAAAAATATGAATATTGTGATATAAATTCTAATAAATCCTATAATGTAACCACTATAACCACTAATAAATCCCATAATAGAAATACTATATATATATATTATAATATAAATACTAATAAATCCTATACTATAAATACTAATAAATTCTACAAGTATAAATATTAATAAATCCTATACTATAGATACTAAAAAATCCTATAATATAAATACTATAAATCCTATAATATAAACGCTAATAAATACTATTAAAAAAGTACCCCCACAAGTCAGAAACGCGTTCGAAGTTCGCAACAAAAAAAAACCCACAAATATTCCACCATTATAATCGACACATAAACCTAAATAAATATCCCGAACCCCTGCAATCCCAGCCACCAAACCCCATTTTTGCACAGCGTCAACAGTCCAATCAAATAATCTAGTCTCCCAAAACTGCAACGCCGCGCAACCCCTAAACAAAATTCCATCGGGCAGCATCAAAACAAATCGTCGCGCGGCACCGATCGCTATTCCTCGTTCCACAGTTCACCGTTCCAACGCTCTTAACCGAGCAACAAACCCTCCCTCAATGCAAAGAAAACTCGCCGAAAAGAATGCTACCCCAAAGCATAAGAACCCAACGCGTTCCAATTCAGCGTTCGCACCGAGTTCGGATACGCGGCCGCAGATCGAAAGGCGTCGTCGCGTATGCAAATGCTTACCTGGGCAAGCGGCACGGGGGTCCGGCACGGTTCGAGCTCGGCGCAATTACCGTCCCCATTAACCCTGTCAAATCAATTCACGGAAGCCGATCGGTAGCGGAAGTCTCGGCGGTGGCCAGATTTCCCGGCGTCGCCTGCCGGCAGAAAATTCCGGGAGGTGGCCCGGCGAGAGAAAGATCGACAGAGAGAGAGAGAGAGAGAGAGCGAGAGAGAGAGAGAGCCCGTTCGTCTCTCCTCCTAGGCTCGCCAGGCGCGGCAAATTAAGCTTCCCAAAACACCGCGAAACTGTTAATTAAGACTCATTATGCGCGCGGGCTGGCTCCGGCCGTCCGGGTGTTGGGGTTGGAAGTGGCGAAAGGGTGGCGAACCGAGCCACGTACGAAGAGGGACAGGGAGGAGGAGGAGGAGGAGGAGGAGGAGGAGGAGAAGGCAGCAGTCGAGAGGGACGAAGAGAGGGACAAGCGGAGGGAGGATGAGTAGGAAGAGCCGAAGGAGAAGGAGGACGAGGAGGAAGAGGAGCAGTAGGTGGAGGAATAGGAGGAGGTAGACGAACAGGAGGAGGAGGAGAAGGAGTAGGAGGAGGAGGAGGTGGAGGAAGAAGAAGAAGAAGACGACGAAGCAGACGTAGGAGATGGGAGCGTTGGTAGCTCTCGGCCGAGCCGGAGAGAACCGGGTGGGAGATCGGGTTCGCTAGAACGGGAGGAGAAGAGGGGGAGGCAGGCGATGGAGGAAGGGCGACGGGTTTAACCCGAGTAGGAACTTCTTAATACCGTGACGGCAGTCGGGTTCATTGTGGGATCAATACAGAGACGACCGGGCGTAGGAGTGGCAAACGGCGGCCTGATTGGACGCGCCGTTCCCGCGCGTTGATTGGCCGGCCGTGGAACTGCCAGGAGGCGGTCCCTTTCGTGCTAGCCCCTCTGTCGGGGTGAACGAAAGGGGGAGGCCAGGCCCTGACCCTCGCCGGGAAGGAGAGAACACGCGGCAAGCGAAAAAGACGGAGAACCCGTCGCGCGACCAGTTGGAAAAAGACGGCGGACCGGCTCTACGGAGAGGGTGACACGACGCCGGGGGGTTCAGTCTGTGTTCGCCCATCAGAGACACATCACCAGCCACGACACGGTCCGGTTGCGTCTCTTCGCCGCGAGGGTTGTACCTGCCTCCCTGTATACAACCAGGTGTGTTCCATCGCGCTCGGATCTCGGCGTCTGGACGCTGCTGATCGACCGCTTGAACTTGACAGTGCGCCACGGGACTTATCGGACGCGTAGAGCCGGCGCGGCGATCGGCACCGAGGTGTCGCCGAAGTGTCAACGGGTCAACGAGTTCGCGGGGACTCGAGCGCGACCGGCCCCAGGATTTTCGGTGGTTCTTGTTTTCTTTTCTCGCGCGTCGAAACAGGTGTTCCAGAGCGTCGCCCCGGTGCGGATTAAAGGACGGTGTCGCCGACTGGTCCCGCGCGCTGGGTGCTTTATGCCTGGACTGGGTGCGCGCTCCCGTGTAACGTCGCTCCGGAACGGTTCGCGCGGTGTCCCGAGCCTCGGGAGGACCAGATAACATCGAAGCACCGAGTGGCATCTTCGTCGGTGGCCTCGACTGCGTAGCTCACGATCGGTGTCACGGTGTTGTCATGGTCGCCGGGAGACCACGGATCGGCAGCCCGGGCCAGTGTTAAAGGTGATCATCGGCGATTAGACTCTGTCGGGCGTAGAGCCCAGTGATCCCGCGTACATTCTTCGTTGACCCCGTTCACGTCGCCGGTCCTCGACCAACTGTACAGTGAACCGAGTGAAGAACAGCTCCGCGCTGTAACTCCGATGTTCGACCGCCTTGGAACCCGCTGCTGACACGCAGAGATACCAGATCGCGCAGAGCCGATCCGTGCGACATTTCGGAGGATCCCGCGGGGATCGGCTTCGGGGACTCGGGTGTCCCGGAATTGCGCCGACCTTGGAGCAAGCGATTAACCGCGCTCGTTGATGAACTGCTCGCGGTGAAGATGCGCGGCCCAGCCTGACAGGCTGCTCCTCGACGGGCATCACCGCGGTCGCGATCCGAGAGGAATCCGGTGGTCCGCGCGGACAGGTAGCCTAGAAAGGCGAGGGTTGCGAGCCGAGGTGTGGACGGCAGAGGCGAACCGAGTGGACAGAGGTGGGAACAAGAAATCGTGTACTAACGGGTGGTGCGACGTTCGGGTACACAAGTCGGCAGGCCGGCTCTGGGGTGCCGGGCCCGGGCGGGGTGATGAGCTGTTCCGAGGTGATGTATCAATATTATCCTTACCTCTATCAGAGGCCACCGCCGCCGCCGCACCCGACCCACCCACATGCGGCCCCGCACACCCATCCCCACGCAAATCCGCATGCGGCCCACCACAGTCCGGCCAGGCCGGCGCCTTTTCAATCCTTCTCGGCGGCCACGGCGACGCATCAATACGACAGGGTGAGTCTATTGTTGTTATCATCGTTATTCGGCGTAGTTATCGGACGCGGTTTCGTCCGCGGACGTTGCCCGCCTGATCGTCCCCAAATCGCTCGTTGCGATCCGCGCGTCGTTTTGTGAACAGTGAAATCGGAGAAATCGATCCTTTGTGCATTCGTCGGGCAACGGTTTGGTGTCGATGGGTCTCGCGCCGCTGCGGAGGCGCGCGTCGTCTAGAATGATAACTAGACGAGCGGATCTTCGGACGGTAGAACTCCGTTTGTGTGACCTCGGCGGGAGACATCTGTTAGGTTGTGTAACAAGTCCGTTCGCGTCTTATTGGAAGACGATATGGCACACTGTGCGGCCGTCCACGCGAATTCGAAGCGATTGTTCTGGGGGATTTTGAGATATGTTGCCGTGCAGATATTTCTGTGCTGCTTAGCTCGAATGATAGCTGGAAGTGTCTAGTTTAAGACAGGGTAGATTAGATCGCAATGGAACTATGAGGTTGTTTTGAGAAATTGAAAGGTATTGACCTTTGACATCGTGGGGCTTGCAAGATTTAGGAGGAAAAGTTCTGATGGATTTTGAGATATATTGCCGTGCAGATATTTCTGTGCTGCTTAGCTCGAATGATAGCTGAAAGTGTCTAGTTTAAGACAGGATAGATTAGATCGCAATGGAACGATGGGATTATTTTGAGAAATTGAAAGGTGTCGACCTTTGACATCGTGCGGCTTGCAAGATTTAAGTGGAAAAGTTCTGATGGATTTTGAGATATATTGCCGTGGAGATATTTCTGTGAAAATTAGCTCAAATGATAGCTGAAAGTGTCTAGTTTAAGACAGGGTAGATTAGATCGCAATGGAACTATGAGGTTGTTTTGAGAAATTGAAAGGTATTGACCTTTGACATCGTGGGGCTTGCAAGATTTAGGAGGAAAAGTTCTGATGGATTTTGAGATATATTGCCGTGGAGATATTTCTGTGAAAATTAGCTCAAATGATAGCTGAAAGTGTCTAGTTTAAGACAGGGTAGATTAGATCGCAATGGAACTATGAGGTTGTTTTGAGAAATTGAAAGGTATTGACCTTTGACATCGTGGGGCTTGCAAGATTTAGGAGGAAAAGTTCTGATGGATTTTGAGATATATTGCCGTGCAGATATTTCTGTGCTGCTTAGCTCGAATGATAGCTGAAAGTGTCTAGTTTAAGACAGGATAGATTAGATCGCAATGGAACGATGGGATTATTTTGAGAAATTGAAAGGTGTCGACCTTTGACATCGTGCGGCTTGCAAGATTTAAGTGGAAAAGTTCTGATGGATTTTGAGATATATTGCCGTGGAGATATTTCTGTGAAAATTAGCTCAAATGATAGCTGAAAGTGTCTAGTTTAAGACAGGGTAGATTAGATCGCAATGGAACTATGAGGTTGTTTTGAGAAATTGAAAGGTGTCGACCTTTGACATCGTAGGGCTTGCAAGATTTAAGAGGAAAAGTTCTGATGGATTTTGGCAAGATTTAGGAGGAAAAGTTCTGATGGATTTTGAGATATATTGCCGTGCAGATATTTCTGTGCTGCTTAGCTCGAATGATAGCTGAAAGTGTCTAGTTTAAGACAGGATAGATTAGATCGCAATGGAACGATGGGATTATTTTGAGAAATTGAAAGGTGTCGACCTTTGACATCGTGCGGCTTGCAAGATTTAAGTGGAAAAGTTCTGATGGATTTTGAGATATATTGCCGTGGAGATATTTCTGTGAAAATTAGCTCAAATGATAGCTGAAAGTGTCTAGTTTAAGACAGGGTAGATTAGATCGCAATGGAACTATGAGGTTGTTTTGAGAAATTGAAAGGTGTCGACCTTTGACATCGCTGTCTCTTATACACATCTAGATGTGTATAAGAGACAGGTTTAAGACAGGGTAGATTAGATCGCAATGGAACTATGAGGTTGTTTTGAGAAATTGAAAGGTGTCGACCTTTGACATCGTAGGGCTTGCAAGATTTAAGAGGAAAAGTTCTGATGGATTTTGAGATATATTGCCGTCGAGATATTTCTGTGAAGATTAGCTCAAATGATAGCTGAAAGTGTCTACTTTAAGGTAGAGTAGATTAGATTGCAATATAACAACGAGGTCATTTTGAGAAATTGAAAAATGTCGACCTTTGACATCATGGAGTTTGCAAGATTTAAAAAGAAAAGTTCCGATGGATTGTAAGACACGTTCCCATTGAGCTATTTCTGTGAAAATTAGCTCAAATGATAGCTAAAAGTGTCTACCTTAATGTAGGGTAGATTAGATGGCAATATAACAACAATATCATTTTGAGAAATTGAAAGGCGTCGACCTTTCACATCATGGGGTTTGCAAAATTTAAAAGGAAAAGTTCAGATGGATTTTAAGACACGTTCCCGTGGAGCTATTTCTGTGAAAATTAGCCCAAATGAAAGCTGGAAGTGTCTATTTTAAGACAGGATAAATTAAATCGCAGTAGAACGACGAGATCGTTTCGAAAATTTAAAAGGAGTCGACGTCTAGATTAGGCTGAAATTGTGTAATAAGTCCCTTCGCGTCGTCGACTGTGCGGCACTACATTTTATCACAAGAAAACTGTGAAAGCATTTATTTCACAACCCAGTTGTTCAAATGACCGGGTAGAACCATATAATACGAGCCAGCTGATTATTCACGTCACCTGCAACTTTGCGTTCTAATGACTGCAGTTCGTGTTCGAACTGTAGATTAAGTAGATTCAGTCACAAAACGTCCGTTCACAAAACCCATCATTGAAAATTACGATCGTATAAATGGAGTTCAGACAAGTGGAGTTCTATCGTCACAGGACTCCGGAATTGAAAACAGTGGAATGATTGAAACAGTTTGACGCGTTATCCACCGGCAGCTTTTTACAATCATAGTCCTCTGAAGATCGAAGATGATAAAAATAAATGGAAGTTCGTTAAAAAGTGTCTCGAAAGCGACTTCATTCGCGCTTCAATAAATCATTTAGACGAGCTTTATTTTGCGTAAAAGTGCACAGTCTACTCTTCTAAGACTCCGCTGTGTTTTTGCAACAAATGCAGACCGCTTTTATTTGTATGATCTGCTGTAGAATAGCAACAAATAGACTGTGGATTCTTATTCAGAAAATGTTCGAATTGTTTTCGACGAAGATTTCAGTTCAACGTGATTACAATATTTGCAGTTCAACAGCGATTCTAATATTTTGCATCTGTGTCCTTTTATTGTTTCTACTCGTTCGTATTTATTGTAAGCAAATTTGCAGTCTGATAATAGTGACAGCAGTTTCATTTGTCAATTATATGGAATAAAGGCGATGGACCGATAGAAAGTAAACAAATTCACAGTTTCGACTCTCCGTTCCTTTTTCATCGCTCTCAAGAGATTCGAATGAATGTTCGTTCAGAAAGATTTCTCTGATCTTATCGGAGAAAATTAGGTTCCTATTATCAGCAAAAGTTTGTTCCCGAATCGAGTTTGTTGTTACCTTTCCATTAAAGATTGTAGACAGAAGGAGATCATTTACCTGAAAATAGACAAGCGAAATTAACCACGAAACATTATTTATCGACGACGTTTAGATAAGACGACGTTAACAAATTTGCAACGATAATTTAAATAAACGTTCCGCGCAGCTGTGATACAATTAAGGTAAACAGGTGTCTGGTGACTTGTGGGCGCAAATGTGTTTCTTTTTAATCGCTGCGAAGATTATCGACTGAGATTTCGAGTTCAAATTAAAACTCCGAACACTAAAATAAATCTTATAATTAAAGATTCGCAGAGCAACAGCGTTTATCAACCCTTCGCACTCGAGCTGCGACTCCGAGGAGCAGTTAAAAATTGTTGTGCCGCGTCTCAAAATAATTTGATCGATCAAATTTGTTTATATTTAAAGGGCTGTTGAAAGCGTAGCTATTTCATGCGCTATAGGTGTAAATGGAATAAAATCGTATAAAATGGAAAAACCGTGGGTCGGAAAAATTATTTTAAATTCTGCCTTGATTCTCGGCTTCGAGCGCAAAGGGTTGAAATAAATTAGAAATAAAATTGTCACCGCGATGTAGCCGTGTAACTCTTCTCGAGGACGATTACAAGATACTCGTCTTATTTCGATCGGACCGTAATTATGTACGAGCGTTAATATCGCTCTCCAGGTTGTTCCGACGGTGTTATTGTTGCGTTTTCAACATCTTCGGTGCCGTGGTGTCTCTGAAAAGTTGTCGGCCCCGTAATAAACGAGCGGCGATGATGCTGTTTTAAATGACGAGTTCGCCGCGCGTGAACGGTGTGTGTGCTCGACTCGACATCGATAGGCTCGTTATCATACTTAATTGCAATAGGACATCATATTTCAGATTGCCTGTGCGCTTTAATAGACTCCGTTCGCGGATAAATCACTTCTAAACAATTTTATCGCGCTTGCACGTACGTTTATTGCGAAGCTGATTTTCGTACGCAGACGCTCGAAAATGTACGATCGACGTTACTGTGCCGCGATTAGTGCCTGTCACGATTCCGTAATTAAATAATCGCGTTCAATGCAATTTCTTTAATCACGTCGCTGCACGATTTTTATTACAATAACACAATAGTGACGCTTCAACGGTGTTTTTTGTAACAATGTAACCATTTGAATTTCGAATGTAAGCGCTTTAAGTGATCAGAAAAATCCGGAAAAATTTGTTCGAATATCTAAACACGATTTCAAGGCGTAATTTTGAATCGACGCTTCATTTAATACGACATCGAAGTCAATTTAATAATCATTTACGTCTTGTTTACGTTCTAACGAAGATTTCCTCCTGCCGACGGTATTATCTGCACGCGTGCCACACGGCAATTTCTATTTTATCCACGAATTTCGGACGAACTTTCGTGGAAATTATAAATATTCGACGCGTATTCGCCAGCAGATTCCCGTCGTTGTTTCTCTTATAGTTATTTAATCAATCAAAGCTTCCACGGACAAAGGGGAAAGCCGTCGAAT